GCTTGACCACAGCAGCCGCTCAGTCGCCATTAGAAACGCCAACGCAGCGCGTCGCAACTCGCCGCCGGAAATAGACGCGTTTACGTATATCCTGTTGGGTGTGTTTGTGCTTGTGTGTGTGACTGCGCGTCTGTGTGTGTGTGTGTGTGTGCGGGCTATTAAATGGCTGCTGCGCCTGCGTTTTCACGCAATTGACATTCAAATGCGATAAAAAGAATTTAAATAATATAAAAATAAAACCCGCGCTTACGTAATCAGTGAGCACATCAAATAAATGAAAATAATAATAGAATTAAAAGCCCAGCTGGATTATATAAAAATTTGATATCTGTGTATTTAGTGCTTCGCTGAGCGCGTTCCAATGCGTTTCCAAACAGTCGACGAGCCGCTGCTGTGGCTGCTTTGGCTGCTGTTGCTGCTTTGGGGCAACTGCGGCGGCAGCGCCAAATTTGTGAGTCCTACGCGACACAGCAGCGGTGGCGGCGGCAGCGACATAAGCAGCACAATTATCATTGTGGAGGATGCCAAAGGTAAGGGTGGCGTGAACGGGCATCAACTCGGTCAATGCACTGGCCCAGAAGACGCGTTTGGTGCGTATTTAAAGTAATTTGCATAATTTTTCATAGCAAAAGAACTGCCACTCAAGCCCAATTTTCCAGAGATTATCTGAGCAAAAGGCCTTGTGCCAGCCAGGGGGGAAGCGGGTTGCGGGGCATGTCGCAAAAACATGACTCGAACATAATTTAGCAGCAGCAGCGGATGTGATGGCAGCAGCAGCAAAAAAAAAAAACAACAAGTAATGAAAAAGAAAAACTATAAGAAAAACATGTAGCAACATGAAGCAGCCGATCTTGGGGGTTCTGCTGGCGCCGCGCTTCACTGACTTCAGCTTTTACAGCTTATGAGCAGGTCGTTTTTGTATTTTTTTTTTTTTTTTGTTTGCTTTGGGCGGAGGCGACGCCGGCGTCGATTGCTTCACTTGTTTTGCTGCATCTTCACATCTTCTCCTTGTTGCAGCCTGCTTCCGGCGTGTGCTGGCCGGCAAGCGTATAGCGCCGCATTGGGTGCGTCGCTCCATATCCTGCGAGCGTGTAGAGGATTGTATGCGCGAATGCGGCCACGAGAAGCGCTTCATGTGCGAGGGCTTTAACTATCGCCTGGATCCGTCCGGACATGGCCAGGGCGATTGTGAGCTGATTGAGTTGCCGCTGTCCCAAATGGATCTGTATTCTAGCGCCAATCGACGCGATTCGAACATGCTGCGGCATCCGGACTATGATTATTATGAGCGGGATCGCAATGCGCCCAGCAGCTGTCGACGCAGCGCCTGCCAGGACTGCTCCAAGGGGCCCATCAGCAGCAATCCTATTTACTTCAAGCCCAGCAGCAGCGGCGGCGGCAGCTATCCACCCGGACCCAGCAGCAGCGGCGGCGGCGGCGGCTATGGCGGCGATCGGGAACGTGATCGGGATCGTGAACGTGATCGGGATCGTGATCGTGATCGTGATCATTATCGTCCACCGCCGCCACACAGCAGCACGGCTGTGGATCATTATCGCGGTCCGTCGGGACCATCGAGCAGTTCCTACGAGCATCGACCCTTCTCCACGGACTATCACAGCTCGCATTCATCCAGCTCGGCGTCTTCCTCATATGAGTTCTCCTCGCATGGCAGCGGCACCGGCTCCGGCTACTTCGGCCACACGCCGCCGAGCAGCTTTGGCGATCATTCGCGACCCGATTACATTGATCGGCATGATTATGCGCGTCCCGAGCCGCCGTCGCGTTATAGGCCCGATCGCTGGGAAACGCTGCCCAGCAGCTCGGGCTATGACAGCTCGGCGTACAGGCCGCCGCGTCCTGAAACGGATCGCATCGACAAGTACAGGCCTTCGTATCGTCCTGGCCACGACTATTCGCCATATCGCCCACATGAGCCTAGTCGGCCGGCGCCCGCCGGTCCACCAGCCACAGGTCTTGCCCACAACTACCTGGATCGCGATGGTCCCGGCTCTGGCCCGGGACCCGCTAGTGTGTCCTATAAGAAACCCAGCAAATTTGTGCCCTACTTGATTGGCGCGGAGGAGCAATTGGGCAACTATGGCGGCGGAAATAGCAAGCACAGCTTCTATGAATCGCAGCGTCGCAAGGATCAGCACGATTTTAACTATTTTGAGCTGGGCTCAACGCACCACCGAGAGCCACCACGTGAGTCGAATGCGGTGCTGCGTTATCCCGGCTCCAGCTATGACCAGGACTATCCACGCTTGCGCAACGACTACAGACAACAGTGGACCAGACGACCCGGACCAGATGGTAAGTAATTGAGACGGAGCAGAAGCTACAGTTGCACAATACTAAATTTCTGTCCCTCCGTTTAGAATGTTCCGCTAAGACCAGCGAAGGCTTTCGGCTGCACAAGACCGCCGTGAAGCATGCCTTCAATGTGCCCACACTGACGGAATGCGAGCGTTTGTGCTCCGATCAGCGACCGAGCTTCATATGCCACACGTTCAGCTATAGGTACAACCAGGCGGGCCGCGATAATTGCATGCTCTGCGACAGGCCCGTCAATATGCTGGACTATTATGTGGACATAGAGCCGGATCGGGATTATGATATCTATTCCATGGCGGATGATATGGACGTGTGCAGGTCGCCGTCGCCGCCGCCACGGCGCAGCGATGGACCCAGCACTGCGCTCTCCGATCCGCGCAATGCACGTGAGTATGGGCGGGCAGCTGTTGAAACTATTGCTCCAACCCTTTGTTGTCGTTTACAGAATGCTTCTTCCGCGCCATCGATGCGACGCGCTTTTTCAAATCCATTGTGCGGGATTCGCTAACTGTGCGCTCTGTTGGCGAGTGCGAAATGGAGTGCATCCGCTCGACCAAGTTCACGTGTCGCGCCTTCGCCTTTCGCTATGGCCAGCAGAGGCATGCGGGCGTCATTGACAACTGTCAGCTGAGCGATTGGCCGGTCCGGGATATGGACAAGGAACGGCATCTGATTCTGGATGCTGCCTTTGATATCTTCGAGCGCGCCAGCTATGGTCATGGCTGTGAAATACAGCCCATTATGGATGAGAAGCACAAGAAACGTGCGTAGACCAGCTCGAGAAGCTTTCCCATCAGATCTAACAAGATTTTCTTTTTCTTTTCAGTGTGCTATCTGGGCTATGGCTCGCCGGCGCGCCTGTTACCCCCGGCTATCAAGAAGGTCATCTCCGTGCCCTCGGAAATGGCCTGCAAAAAGGAATGCATACGCTTCCGGGAAACGACGCCCTTCAAATGCTACGCCTTTAGCTACGGGTAAGTTCGTCGCTTTTGAACCAACCTCTCAAACCACTAAGCATTTAAACTGCAGCGCCCAGGCTAGTTCCTTCAATTGCGAAATGTCCGATCTGGATCAGACCGAGCTCAAACTGGATGTGCACTATACGCACACCAAGGAGCGCGATTACTGGCTATTCGCCTGGAATCCATTCGATTGGACATGCCGCGACAAGGTCAACACAATTGGCGGATCGCGTGTTAATAACGATAGACGCATGGACATATTCCGGGAACCGGGTAAACTGACTATCTTAACCTGTTGCACGTCCATCATTGTGTAAATAACCAGCGGTTGACCAATCCAAATATGTGTATAACCCAAATAGTAGCATTAGTTATATATATATATATATATAATAGAATTAGTTTGTAATACGGCGCAGAATGTATATACAAATAACGTCTACCTGTACAGTAGTGCCCATGTACCCCCATAACCAAGACGAATCCAAGTATTCCCCCACCCTAATACTAACTAAGTGTTGCGCATGCACGAAAGGGTTTCCCATCCTTAACTAACTTTTTATTCGGAAGGCGACGTTGCCTGGCGCCACTATACGGTCTCCGGCAAGCCCTGTCGACGCAGTAGTCCCTGCGAGAAGAATCTCATAACTGGCTTCTATTCCTGCGAAACGGATGGCTCCGAAATTGGCTCCTGGGACTATTGCTGCAAAACGGATCATCCCTGTGGCTACAGTCGCGGCTTCGACTATCCCTGGTAAGTGTGCATGCATTTTTGAGCGAGTGCCCAAACTAACATTTCTGAATCCGACCAGGTGCTTTGTGGGCGACGAGGCGGATCAGTGGCGCAAGTGCAGCGATCGTTACTATCCCGGCAGCAACAGCACCAAGCCAAGCACCCACTCGAACCTAGGCCTGCCCAGCGGCGGCAAACAAAAACCGAAGCATCATCAGCAGGCGACAGCGGCGAGCAGTGAATACACACAGCATCCGCCGCGGCCCGGCGGCCTGCAGAGTCTCAGCGATTTTGCGGCCGCCCGGCTCTGGCCCGTCACCTATCTGTATAGCGAGGGGCCGCCAAATGCCACCGAGTTTAGTAATTTCGTCGATTGCAACAAGGAGACGTGCTAGCGGCGGCAGCACGCGACAGCTTATTAAGTAGTTTCCCATTAATCAGATTTTCCAATAGGTTCTAAGTCCCGTTCTTGCCCCCGCCCCTGCTTCCAACTTAGTTCTAACAATGACGAAAAAAAGAAGCATTCTCACCGGTTTGTCTGCTGCACACGTTGCAAATGTGTCGTTGTGATTTTCAATGAGATTGGATACAATTTTCCGTCGTAAAAAACCAATTAACTTATTAATTTTTCTTTTTACATATAACGTTAATCACAGTTTCGTGCTGGCGATAAATCTTGTACTTATGTATTTAAGTTGAATTTAAACGTACTTTATGTACATGTATGTAGAAATATATGTGTATTAATAAATAAAACTAGTTAACTGCGGAGCGGTTGAAATTCGATCGATATTCTATTAAAACTACTTTAATTTTTCTTATTGTTCACTTTAAATTACTGTAAAACTTGCTTAGCTGCTTTTTCGCGGTTAAACTAATAAGGCGCTAAATTACCATAAAAATATACCAGAAACTTGGTATTTTCACATGTTATTTTTTTGGTATTATTTAAGCTGTCATCTACGTTCACACTGGCTTTCAAACAGCTGACAATGGGAAATTGTGCAATAGCCACACGGCATGCTTATCTTTTGTAAATATTATAAATAAGACAATATTTAGTGAAAAAAATGAGCCGCTTAAAAGTAAAAAGCATCCTTGCAATCGGCGCCACAGCCCTTGGCGCCTTCTATCTGGGTTCATATACAGAACGCCATCAGAGCGGCAACAATGAATATGAACACCGAAAACTACCACGTCTACCTGGACTTCCAGTGTTTGGAACTGTTTCCGCCGCCACGCTGATGCCCGCAAACGAGGTAAACCTGACCGCCCAGCCCTCACGCATAGCACAGATCATGAAGTATGGTTTTCCCGGCCTAGATAATGTCCGCTCCCACTCGGACTATGTGCTCTCCTATGACAGACGCAATCGTGTACCCCACTGGGTGTTCGAGCATCTGACTGCGGAATCTGTGGCCAAGAACGACCAAGTGGACCGCGCCAAATGTGACTTTAGGCCGGATGAGAGCATTCATCCATATTTTCGCGCGCAAAACACCGACTACCGGCGCTCCGGCTACGATCGTGGCCACATGGCGGCAGCGGCCAACCATCGACTGCATCAGAAGCATTGCGACGACACGTTTCTGCTGTCCAACATGGCGCCACAAGTGGGCCAGGGCTTCAATCGTGATGCCTGGAACAATCTTGAGATTCATGTGCGCAAACTGACCAACATCTACAGGAATGTCTACGTTTGCACGGGCCCGCTATACCTGCCGCACAAGGAGAACGACGGCAAGACATATATCAAATACGAGGTGATCGGTGCCAATACGGTCGCCGTGCCCACGCACTTTTACAAGGTGATTGTGGGTGAGGCGGCGGACCAGAGGCTGCACATGGAGGCATATGTGATGCCCAACCAGGTGATTAGCAACGATACCCCGCTGCAGGTGTTCCAAGTGCCGCCCGAGACAGTGGAGCGAGCAGCAGGCTTGCTATTCTTCGATCAGCTCAACCGGAAACAGCTGGCGAGCATTAATGGAAAAAAGGTTTAAATCCCTAGTTTTCTTGAATGTTAAGTAAATTGTATTTTAGTTGTTTTGGATTGTGTTCATTAATAAAAGTAAACAATACAGAATAAAGTACAAATATAAATGCTGATGTATGGCAGCTCTTATATTTAAAAAAATTGAATTATGCCGCGCGACGAATACACAATTGATTAACAGCTGCTTGGATGCTATTGTGAACTTAGATAAAATACTAAAAATATGAAAAATGACAAGTTCGATAGCGAAGCGTGGCTGGAATAACCTATCGATAACTTATCGCCATCATTAGTTAAGCCGCGAAAAAGAGGCAGAAGACGAAGAATTGGTAAACATAAAAAATAAAATTATAAAGTGAATTATAAAAATGATACTCGTTTAGAATATAGATCGGATTTAATTTGCTCTGCAGTTAACGAGCTTTATTTAAAAATACGCCAACGCGAATGTAATGTACGTTTGAATTCAACTTATGTGAAAAAAAAATGTGATTACGGCTTGTGTTAAAAGAAAATGAATAGGAATATTATGGACGATGGAAAATTGTGTCCCATCCAAATTGATAATCACAGCGACACATTTGCAACGTGTGCAGCAGACAAACCGGTGAGAATGCCACTTTTTTTTCTTCATTGTTAGAAGTAAGTTGGAAGAAGGGGCGGGGGCAAGAGCGGGACTTAGAACCTATTGGTAAATCTGATTAATGGGAAACTACTGTCGCGTGCTGCCGCTGCTAGCACGTCTCCTTGTTGCAATCGACGAAATTACTAAACTCGGTGGCATTTGGCGGCCCCTCGCTGGGTAGGCTCAGCCTAGAGCGAGTGATTGGTTTAGTGCTGTTGTCGTCGAGATTATAGGGATCGCTGCACTTGCACTTAAGCGCCTTGGCGGGTAAATGGGTACCGAATCAGAAACACATTCTGGCGATCCGCCAATTATGTTGTTATTGTCGTATTATTATATAGGATATTTGAGGATATCATTTTCACATGAATTTTGACCTAGAACAATGCTTCCAGATTTAGATGCCAAATTTATCTAGAGGCCCATGAGCAAAAAAGGAAAATCTCATGAAAATCGGGGGAGATTTGACCGAGCTAGAAGGGTGTGAAATTTCGGCTTATGTCCATATAGGATAATATCATTGTATAGCCCGGCTTTGCCCGTGGCACGTTTGAAAATGATCGGATGCAGCTTTTCCATTGGGGTGGTATTTCCCGAAACCCCATCTTAACGTGCACAAGGTAACATCAGGGAACATTTTAGCTTTCTAGATCTAAGAGCTTGGGCTGTTGTAAGCCAATCAGTCATTCAGTCAGGACAAACAGTTTTATATATATAGGAGATATGTTAATTATATTAAATTCCGCAAAGGCGGTTTCCTTTGTTTGTGCCTGAGATCAAAGGCTCTCAGCAATTGTGCACACACAAAAAGACAACCTGCCGTCAAAAGTCTCATTAGCTAATGGCCCGGAATTGCTTCTTGCTGATGCAAAACGCTGTTTTAAATACTTAAACCCCCAGCCTGAGAGCAAGGAACAGGATTCTGGACGACTGCAAAGCATTTTCATTCAATTTTCCTGTCGCTGCAGCGGGGCTTTTCAACATTTATTGTGATTATTTGGCCTTATGCTTGTTGTTGTGCATTGCCCTAGCTGAGGTTGCGGATTTCAGCCAACTGCAGCAAACTGGCCAATAGCAAAACGCAACTAGGCCAACTGCAACTCAAGTCTGGCGTCAATCAAAATGCGAACCCCTCCAGCAGTTCCTCGGCGACCTTTAATCAATGGAAAGGCATATGCACTTCGGTGTTTGGTTGAAAGAATTTCGACCTTGTTTTTTCAGTATTTATTTGCTTTGATGGCGTTTACATGCACTTTTTGGTTGGCAGAGAAAACATTCGGCTTTACACTCATATTTTTTTCATTTCATTCAGCATGAATTGAAAGAAAAATAAACCAATGTATAAATACAAACAGGGCGAAAAATCTGCGGCAAGTCCCACCTGAGCCTATTTGTGCCGATTGCCCTTTTAATTGAGAGCCTCGCTCAAACTGGTTAACAAGAAATCACTTTAAACGAACTTAAATGAAATGAATTGAGATATTTTAGATTCATTTAAATTCACGGGGAACACATAAACGAAAGAGTTTATACTTAGTTTTAGTTTAGCTGATTATGCCCATCAAAATGCGTAGAAATAGTTTAATGAAGTGCCGCAAAAGTCTGCATCAGGCATATCTCCAATCTATATATACGAGTATATCTAATCTTGATCCACAAATTGCAGCAGTCTGGGTGCTCTATCAGGTCTGGGACTGGAAATTTACTTTAATGATTAGTTCTAGTCCTTTTAGATGATAGTCTAGGCCCGGTTTACGAGTCACAGACTTGCTGTTACAGTTCTAGAGTCACAAAACTTAAAGGAAGAGTCTCTATATAATTCGTTTAATTCGTAAATAGTTAGAGTATTTCACAATCTGTTGCACTCGACCTTAACTGGTTTTAAAATTCTTTTGTCTTTATATTCAAGAGTTTCAATAGCATGAACAACTCGTAAAAAAAATGCTTTAAAGTAAATAACGCACATATGTTGAATGTATCCTTGTATCCTTATTATTTATTGTTTTTGTCAAGTGAATATTTCCTTTAATTCATGCTTAAATATCGCGCATACGCCATGCTGGCATACATCTAGAATTTCTAAATTTTTAGAATCCATAATCTATGCTGACATTTTGACTTGGTTTTTAGCTTGCAAACATGTTAAGTCAGCAGAATGAATGGACTAAGGAATCTCAGTATTTCCAGCTCATCAATTGCCTTTGAATACATTTAGCTATGGCCAATATATGGAAATCGATTCGACGTCTCATTAAGCTGTTGCTGCCGGTCGGTTGACTGAGCCCTGAGCCATTTATCAAATCTGCATTGGATGCACTGTGCTGTCCGTGCCGTCCATGTACAAGATTCAAATAACTCCGATGTCGCCGCAGGCCGCAATTGCTGCACGTTGGGCGTCTGCCTTCAATTGCAGCCAAATGGGGATGTCAATTAAAATTGTGGCAAACTCAAGTGCCACTCACACACGCGAATCAGTTATGTTACAAATATAAAAAAGTTGTTCAAATACGCCTAGCCGAAGCGTAAATGCCCTTCTAGACAGGCGGGTTACAAATGCTTTTAAACGGAAGGTTTGTGCTCCTATATAAATGCCAAAGTTGGATTTGAAATGGCTTGAGCAGCTAGAGAAGCTTGTTATTAATTAAAAAAAGCTGCTCATTTGTGGTAGATGTAGTCTTTGTCAAAATCTCTATCCAATGTGGGGGTCCGACCCGGCCGAAATGGACGGATAAACCAAAAGTTCCCGAAGTGGGAATATCGTAAAATTGCCAAACGGGCATGACCAATCAAAATAGGTTTATAGATCGGAATTGTGCCCCCCAGCGTTACACGTTTCATCTCAAGAATATAATGCCCTCGGAAAGGGTAAGAACATATAAAAACAGGCCGCATCCACAGCTGCAGCCAGGAAAGCGAAAAGCATTCACATGCAGCAGCCAAGTGGCATTCACATTCGCATGAATGTGCATATGTAATTGCGGTTATTTGACTGAGAGAGAGAGAGACAGCCCGATTCTGCATCATTGCTGTGATATGTGATAGGTATGGCTGAGGGGGGGAGGGGGGAGGATTTGGAGGCGAGCTGGTTGTGCCATAATGACGGGATGCTTTTCTGAGCGCACAGCTCTTCAATAATTCAAGCGTTTTCACACTTGTGGTCAGGTATTCCCATGGACATGATTTCCCTGAGTGGGACGGGCCCGCCCCAATATGGGTGTGGTCCCTCGAGTGGCCAGTTATATGCAAATTTTGCATTTGCTCCACAGCTGAGCTGAACGTAATCAATGCATGCTTGCGTTTATTTAAATTCCTGCAGGGTAATCAAAAGAAGTGCACTCACAAATATTTACATACGTACGTATAAATGTCCATGAATGCAGGTGTGCAACTATCCTAATTGTTGCACACCTCAATCAATGTTGTTTTCCGATAATTCTGCAGATGTGTTAGCAAACGTACTCGTAGCATGCTAATTTGCTGTGCTCTACATTTGTTCGCATACAAATAAAAGTAAAAGAAAATACTCGTATATATTATTATAGATGGGATATTATTTAACTGATTGTCGAAGTCTTAGTAGCCGGTGTCAGTCGAGTCAAATGAATACGCCTTGTTTGTGCTCCTATATAACTTGCGGCAATTCGAGCTAGAATTGCAAATATCGTCCGGGTCGATTTCTTGCCCACTTTCAAGCCGAAAGGACATTTCTGTTAAATTTCATCTGCCTAGCTCTTGGATTGGTCACCATTAGCCAATCAGTTGTTCACTCAATCAGAACAAGCTCTTCTATATTTATTGAATATATATATATATATATATATATATATATTTGCCCTTCACTTGCCGCAATTCCATTAGGGAATTGCCATTCATTCGAGCTAATGTTCAATTTCCAAACAACAATTAACCACAAAGAGACTCTCGCTTGACATTGAAAACTTTTCAATGGGGAACTTTACTTTTCCAAACGAACTGTGCCTGACACTCACTTAACTATTATTGCTGAATGGACGGAGACTCGGACTCGTGCTGGGCGTCCAGGTCGTAGTGTTAAGTATTACTGCTGATCGCTCCATTGAAGTGACTTTGTAATGCAATTGAACTCATTTTGTTAAAGAATGAACAACAACAACAACAAAAAAAGAAGGGAAACGTGAGTCGCCCCACAACAGTTTCCCGGGCGGAGAAAAGAACATTTCACTGTGAATGGAAGGGAAACACGCATACAAAGGCAAACGTCAAGTATTCAATACTTGGTCGCGCATTTAACGAAAAATCAGCAAAGAGCACGGCAAAGAGAAGTTGATTTTTCATAGACGACGTGCCGTTTCGAGCTGACACACCCACACACCCAAGCACAGATGCCAAATGGTAAGCGAGGTGCCAACTGGGTAGCCAGCGATACGCCCGGAAAGGGAAAGCTGCTTTGTTCGCTTAGTTGCGTGATATTTCAATGCTGCCTGACTGCTTAATCGTGCGGTGGCACCA